GTAGTGAGTCGTTGCGTAGTTTATTTTTAGGAGAATGTCACGATGCAACTGGTCATTTTGGCTACAAAAAGACATCAGCGAACTTAGTACAAAGAATATGGTGGCCTTCTATGATGATAGATGCAAAACGCTATGTTGAAACTTGTCAGGTTTGCCAAAGAGACAAACCAAGGACTCAGGCTCCGCTTGGGCTGATCAAGCCCTTGCCGATTCCTGAAGGACCAGGTCAGAGTGTGTCTATGGATCTCATGGACACCCTTGTGACCAGCAAGTCTGGAAAGAGGCATATCTTTGTTATAGTGGACCGTTTTACAGAGTACGCAAGACTGATTGCTATGCCAGAAACAGCTAAAACTGACTACGTCATCAAACTGTTTATGGATAATTGGGTACAGGATTTTGGTTTGCCTACTTGCATCGTTAGCGATAGGGATGTGAGATTCACAAGTGAACTGTGGCAGTCAACTGCTGAACAGATGGGCACCAAACTCCAAATGACTTCAGGGAATCATCCTGAGTCAAATGGCCAAGCAGAACAGATGAACCGGGTAGTACAGCACCTGCTTCGGCATTACATTAAACCAAGTCAGGATGACTGGGATGAGAAGTTACCTCTCGCCGCCAGCTTGTACAACAATGTTGTGCACAGTACAACCGGTATGACTCCCAACCAGTTACATCTTGGTTGGAAGCCCAGAAGTGCATTGGACTTTCTGCTACCAGAAAGACACTCCACTGCAGCACCTGGCAGCATAGAGTTTGTTGTCAAATATGAACAGATGTTGCAGCAGGCCGTTGAACATATTAGGAAGTCTCAAGATGCTAGGATTGCATCTGAGAATAAGCATAGACGGCCCTCTAACTTTCAGGTGGGTGAACGAGTCTGGGTAAAGTCATCTGAAATAGGTCAGGAGTTGGGGATATCCAGAAAACTGATGTGCTGAACCAACAAATACCCATCATCATTAGGCGACGTATAGAGAGAAGAATATGAGTAATCGATCCCCTTTACATCCACATCCCCTAAGAACACCCACATAACAAGATCGTTGTACCCTTGTTACTAACATAGTCATAGGTAGCAGCCTAAAGGTTACAGATTTAGGGTTTAGGGTTTAGGGTTTATGTTGAAGCACACATACCTCACTGTTCCCTGCCTCCATAGTTCCGCCTGAACTCTGGCAGAGCTCCCGCAATCGCCCTGTCATTGGTCACATACAACTCATGCAATCGATTGCTGGCTCTTAGTGTTAGCTGAGGTCAGGGTTAACTTAACGGGGATCTGACCCTAATCAACAAGTTGAGGGGCGTGTATATGAGAGGATCACACAAAGACAAGTATGGAGGAGGATGGAGGAGGTGGGCACCATGATAGCGTCTCCCTCCTCTCCAATGCCCCATACTCCCCTTTTCTGGCCCTGTATGATGCCTAATGATAACAATCAGAATAACGACACAAAATAATAATAATAATAATAATGATAATAATAATAATAAAAATAACAATATTAACGATAATAATAAGTAATAGTAGCAATAATAACCATAATAATAATAATTGCGCGGCATACGAGCGTGATGATATACAGAACCAAGTTGCGAAATCACACAGATGTCCGAGTAGAGATGTACAGACCGAGTGCAGAATCCGTCAAAATGGGAAAACATAAAGAAACAACGGGCCAATGTTCGCATTCATGCGCCACATCAGTAAGGCATTCAGGGTCGCTCTTCCTTCGCGTGGCATCCAACCTGCGTGTCTGTCTGTCCATCTCAACCGTTTGCCTGTCTCAGGCTGTTGGTTGGTCTCAAATTGTGTCTGTCCCCGTCTGTGTCTATAGTACTTTAGACCGTGTCTGTCCCAGTCTGTACTGTACGTTCCCGCAGTGCGACTGCACTTAGTCAGCGGTGCGTCCTTATGCAGCCAGCGGTATAGCCCTGCTCAGTCCAGGTCCAGTCAAGCAAGTACCGTATGGGACTGTGTGCACCATGGGTATGGAAAAGGGCAGACCAACTAGTTTCAGAAATATAAATCAGGAGGCAGCGCCCAGCCTTTCATTCATTCCTGCGTGAGCCATGCGTAAAAGCTGCTACAGCGGCCTGTGCTACGGTGGTCTGCAGGATGC